GAAAAAAGAAAAAAACTTACTTCTTACTGCTGGTTTGTTTGCCCTGTGCAGCACAGCTGTAATTTCCAAGCTGCGTACCAAAGCGAAGTGACAAGGCTGTATCACAGTCATCGACGCTCACCACAGCAATCTTCTCATCTGACGGACCCTGAGCCTCACCACTCATACTGCGCTTGGGCTGGACATCCAGACACAGTCCAAAGAAACAGAAAACCAGTCAACATTCAAGAAATACAAGAGCATTCACTAAATCTAGAGTTTTCGTCATTGCATTAAAACACTACATCAGATACAAACTAGCAGTAAACACATGAGATTAGTATTTACACTGATACTTTGCACAATGACAGGAAGACAAAAGGGAGAAGCTTTGGTTAGTAGGACATACAGGAAGAAAAAACAAACACATGGGCAAGAGAACAGACTAAGAGCAGAAAGACAGTGCATTCATTCTCCTTACTGTCTGCTGGTGAAAGAAAGGAGGAGCAAAAGAAGCTAAGAAAGGAGAAAGTGTATATGCGCTCTGACACACGCTCATACTCACATAACGTGTAGCAGGCTGAGGAAAATAAAAGAACATGAAGAAAATTAAAGGAGATGTGCGGCGAATATGCATGAATAAAAATGATGACACGCAAACACCCACATAGGCGTGTAGACACAAACACTTTGGCTCAATTCAAAGTGCTTCGTCGGCTCGAAGGCTGAGAAACTATTCTGCCGACGCATCAGAAGTACCAATAAAAACAAGTCAAATTTACTAAGTGCAAAATAAAATCACATAAGAAAAACAAACCCTAATCATACAGACATCAAGAATCCAAAGTGGAAGCTCAAATGCAAGAATCACAATGAAGTTGGGATTGGGATGTAAACCCACCTTGTTGTAGTAGTGGATGTGAACTGTATGCCAGTTACCATCGCTCACACCCCCTGGCAGGAAGGGACTCACCTGGGTGGATGACTCACCTAGAGACAGGTAAATGAAGAATATGTCATTAAAATGAATTCAAATGTAGCTCTTATGGGTCTCCTCTTTTTTTAAGGGTGTGGATGCTCCAAATATATCCGCTTTATTTACAATTACCCCAAAACCTCTGTAAGAACTGTTTGCAAAGACCAAATCAGCAGCATTCATTACCTGAATCCACACTTAGATAAACAGATTTTTGTGTCTCAGGAGGAACGCTTGTTTTTATAGGCCTGCTGCACATGTTCATGGGTCAAAAGAAAAGCAAACAGCAACAGCAGACATATGGTCTCTGTTTATAGAGCACAAATTTCATGCAAACAAAACCAAACAAGAGTGCACATAAAGATACAATACCTGTGGAGTATTTGAACACCACTTGTCCTTCTTGGATCTCTAAGGCAATGAAGTCATGTTTCTCGTTAAAGCGTCCATTATAGAAGAGAAGACCACTGTTCTCCAGAGTGGCAAATCTAAAAGACGCATGCACATAGATATTTGAAGTTTATTGACAAATGCTGTATGCAGTAGAGAATTTATTAACACAGCCATGGTAAAAAAGAAAACTGTTAGGTAAGGAGTGAAAGACTAAGTACACCCTTAATGCTTAGCATTGATGATCAAATTGTGATGATCGGTGATTAATTGATCATCATAATCAGTATGACTACTGCTATAAAAGTAGAAGTTTTGGCAGTTTGTTGGTCTGAAGCACTGGGGTGTGTCAACGCAATGCCAAACACGAAGGACGTCAGCAACGATTGTAAAGAAGCAACTGTTTCTGCCCATCAGCCTCTGAAGCATTAAAGCATTAAAAAGCCTTATCCAAGCATACACAGAGAAAGATTATTCACAAGTGGAAAACATTCAAGACAGCTGAGAATCTTTGATGTGCAGGAGTGGACATAACCGGAAATTCATCCAGACTGTGTCATGCTCAGAGAAATTGCAAAAACCCAAGAGGTACAGGCCTCAGTTAGCATGTTAAATATTAACATTCATTACAGTATAATTAGAAAAAGACTGAACTAGTATGGATGTTTGGAAGGGCTGCCAAGAGAAAGTCTCTTCTGTCTAAAAAGAACATGGCAGCCCGGCTTATGTTTGCACACCTGCCAAACCTAGAAAGTCAAAGAGAAAGCCAAATATCAGCACCTCATACCAACTGGGGACTTGCTTTGAAGCTGCCAAAAAAAGCATTCTGGATTAATTCTTGTTAAATACATAATGACGTGGTGTAATATGTCGTGCACTGTTGTGCATTTAAGGTTGTTGTTATGGTCTGTGGGATGAACAGGCCGAGTGTGATGTTGAGGACCCAAATGTAGGTGCTTGGAGACGAAATAATCTTAACAAAAGGCGAGCTGTTTATTAGACTGAACAATCCACAAAGCAAAAGTAAGCATAAAATGCAAAAGGAACTGAAAACTTCTAAACAATGAAGACACTCAGAAATACTTTAGACAGCACAAGGAACCAGAATCACTGGGGAAATGAGCTGATGCTCCAACAAAGGACAAAGGGATACCGGCAAAATATATACACAGGAGAGTGATTAGGGGAGTGAAGTAAGCTTGGAAACACAGCAGGAACAAATTAGGCGTAACAAGACAAGGGAAGCAAAACTAAACATAAAGCACAGAGATGAGTGACTATCAAAATAAAACAGGAAGTAGCTAATATAAGGACCAGGATTAAGACAGATTAGCTTGACACATGCAAAAGAGCAAACTGACACAAAGACAAGACTGACTCAACATGATATTAAAGGCAAAAACACAGAGAAGAAGCTAAGAGGACAGGGAGAGAGCTAAGAAACCTAACGTAATTTGTGACTACACCAGATACATAAAATAATACAACGGGAAACTGATGGGGATTCAAAAACTCAAAAGGACAAGAAAACCAAAGACAGAAACAAAAACCTACTTTCAAAGTACAAAACAATAATGAATTAGGAAGATTTGAAAGTGCAAAACACAACGACCCCAGACCACAACAGCTATATTTAAATAATTTTAAAGCCTGATCAGAATTTTTATTACCTTAGAATTGATAGAGGGTGTACTCTCTTTTTACCATGGCTGTATATTTTTATATGCATGCAGAGAGAATATGACACATTTTAAATTATATTTTTCACTCCGATACAGGAAGAAACAGAAACAAAAAACTATCTCAGACACAGCAGAACAAAAATGACTCCTGGCTAGTGCAGAAGAACAAAAGGTATTCAGACTATGCCAGAGTTAATAAACCATACTGCTGGAGTCTTCCTTTCCCTCAGCTGCTCAGACGCAAATAAAAAGTCTATTTTGCACAGAACAGATGAGAAATACTCTGTCCTGGTGGCAAGATACAGAAAAGATTCTCACTGCATAAAATGTCCACATTAAAAATTACTGAGATGTTGTTTTAAACATGATACCACAACAGTTTGCCTGTTTTTACTATTCCCTTCAACTAAGCGCCTCAATTTTAAAATCGTACACTGCAATTTGTAGGCAGCTGACAAATAGCACCTGCAGGGAAATTTTTATTCAAGGTTTCTCTACTTTCAGTGAGGTTCAGTGGTGTCACAAATTGGATCCAGCCCAACTCCGCTAGAGAGTCAAATAAATCCAGCGCACAGATGCAGGAGGTCAGGTTCAGCTACAGGAAAGAAGCCCTAGAGCAGCATGGTTATAAATGTCTGCCTTTCAAACGGTTTTAAGTTGTTGAAGAAAAATATTCTTCTACTGTTTCCTATTTTGTTGAGTTAAAATTATCATATCTGCATTTTATTTTCTTGGTTTAAATTCCAATGGAAATCATTCCTGCACTATAGAACTGTAAGGAAATAAGAGCATCTTATCGCCGTTCTGGTGAATCTGAGGACGCTGGCATTGTCTAAAATAAACCCAGGGTTTCTGGTTAGCAAATATGTGCCTTCTTTGTATGGATTTGCTGTCGCTCTGACTGCACTGTGCCAAAATATCTAGTATGCATATCTAATCTATCCGTGCCACCAGAAATAGCTAAAAATAAAAATAAAAATAAAAATTGTAACCTGAGCTTTGATAGAGTAACTGGAGATAATGTGTGGAGTCAGACAAGCGGAGACACAGAGGAGCCGAAGGAGTAAATAAATGCAAAGAAGCATGCTTTATATGTTCAGCAGGTCTGTTTTTGTCAGTGTTATTGCTGTTTGTGAAATTCATTACGTGCCGCCAAGAACTGCATTAAACAAATTAATATGATGTGACTTATTCCCAAAAGCAATAAGCTACAAGATGGAATATCATGTGTTTATGATCATTTTTATTCCTTAAACTCGGTTAGCTTAGCAGTCAATTTCAAGCAGAGCTGAAGAAAAGAAAACAAACGCTGACATGCACACACTCTCTCTCATGCAAATGCCTTTCAAATGCATTAAAAACTTGAGCTCAAGTCATGGCAGTGGTTTCGTATTCATAGAGAGCAGAGTCATATTGTCGCTTATGCTTTCATATGCAGTTAGATCTATAGAAACCTAAAAAAAGGCATCTTGTGGAGGGAAGTCTATTTTGCCCTCAATTAACACATGAAACAGGAGCTTAAATTTAAAACATGTTTATCTATTTTCATAATATTTTGTCTTCCATATAGTTTATGTCCCCCCTATAATGTACATAAAAGATGGACGTAGCCAATGTGATGTCACACATTAGCTTGTTAGCCTTTCCCTTGAAGCTTCAGGATTAGCATGTAGGAAGCTGCCATATTATTCACATGGAGCCAAAAGTAAACATATTTGGATGGCAGTATGAAGCCATAAGTTCTCAGCTAATGCAAACATGAGACCAGATGGCAACCACCAAGCAATTATTTCCCCACCAGTTGTGAATGGTTACTGCTATTTAGTAACATGTAAATAAAATACTGGAATTTTCTTCATGAAAACTGGAGCACAGACCTCTGGCACTGTGGTACCACTGCGCACAAAGCAAACCATGCTATTTATTTGAATTTAATTCCATTTAAAATGTTACTACACCCAATGATTTAAGACTTATTACAGTTTAACAAAAACTAATAAAAGACCATTCTAAATTTTTTAAAAAAATCATCAAGGGGGAATTTAACTAGAAACCAAAGCTGCTTTTTGTACCAAGTTTTAAAGTTCTCAGACTCCAGTGGCGACTCAAGGAACTGCAGTTTTTTTGGCACTTTGCTGGCTTCATTTTTCAGTCTTGCTGCTTGGTGCTGCCATAAAGCAGAGCTACACACTAAGAACAAAACTCACAGATCTGACTGGGTTTGAACAAATTTGAAAGCATGGTGCTGAAAAAGACCACACATTATCTGTTCAAAGAAATCAATGCTTTTCTCAAGAAGTCCTTGATTAAAATTACTAAAAGAAAATAGAAGATTAACTCCTTTCTATACACAGATTTTTCCACCCAGCGTGGGACTCTTTTAAACCAACAACAACACACAGAGAAATGTTAACACGATACCTGCTAAATGCTCATAAAGCAAGCTTCTTTTAAAAAAAAGAAAACATGCCCTTCATGCTTCATTCCTTAACTTAACTAATGGTGAAACCACATGTAGTGCTTTTATGCACCAATAATGCTCATTTAGCGAGCAATACAGTGACCGCAATGTCTCACGGCAACTACTCCATGGTAGCCACATCAGCTTAGCAACAACCCCATGGGCAACATCACCCTAGCAACTATCATTAGACGACATCACCCATGGCAACCATCCATCCCATAACCCTGCCTGACCACTCTTAAGCACCACTTCAATTCTCTTGGGGGCTTTGTAAGTCTAGAGGCAAGCAGCAACTGAAAAATGATTTTGGATGGGTAAAAGGAGTCACTGACCTCTGCCACAACATTAGCATTACATATATGCTCAGGCAGAAAGTGTTAACTCAAATAAAAACGTGCTGTGAGCGAGCCAAGCAAAACGGAAAGTATTGCACAAATTCTCTTGTAGGTAAAGTCAGTGCCGCGGTTTAATTTACAATCTTAGTAAATAAAAAAATTATGATGAAAATAACTTGTGTAGAAATGCTGTGAGATTCTTGAAACCTTGGCCAAAATCTTGCGGCAAATGTGCCCCATACACATTTGTACACGCATGATTAAAAGAATGTACACAGTCTGTGCCAGGACATCATGTGGCTCCACACTGTGGTGGACTACACGTCAGCCTACCCTAACAAGCAAAAGATTACTGGTTTAACCTAAGGAGGAGACACAAATCTCTTGGGAGTTGTGTGAGGAAAGGTATCTATTGTTAAAACCAAACATGCAGTTACCCACTGTGATGACTCACAATGAGGGAGCAGTTGAAAGTTGTGTTTACATATCAGGAAATATTAAAAAAAATATTCTGGTCCTAACCAGGGCTCGAATATAACCTCACATGAACAAAACTCAATTCATCAGCCCTGTACCATCATGCTTGACAGGTGGTGTTTGTCCTGATATGCTGTGCTAACATTAGCTGCTTACTTAACATTTTACCTTCTCATTCATACATAGTCACTTCTTCCCCAAAAAAGCCGTAATGCTAAACTCAAAGTTTCAAAAAAGGGGTCTATTGAACGTGACATCATGGTGCCATGGCCTTCTTTCATATACAGTCTGTGGTTTTAGTTATTAATTGGGCACTTTAAATTAATAGCCCCACTGACTAAGAAGCATGTTTTTTTCTGAGTTGGTTCCAACTATGAAGTCATTTCCTTTCAGAGCTTTTGCAGCAGGATGGTCAGATGGAAGATAAGAACATAGAAGAGAAAGAAAGACAGCAAAGCAAAGCAGATGGGATTAAATGGAGAAGCAATGCTTTTAAAGAAGCGAAGCAGAGGGAGGATACAGGGAAGCCATAAATAAAAGGATCACTCTCCAAGATGGAGATGATATAGTTTTAAAAAACAGCTTAAAGAAAAGTGGAGGGAATCAGAGAGTGATCCATCCTGCTATATCTGATGGAAGCTGAAAGAAGAGACAAAAAAATAATAGAGAAGAAGACAGGAAAGGAAATGACAGAATGTTTACTCAAGTCTACTCACGTTAATGAGATGGAGAGGTGAAATCTCTGTCTGAGCCCCCGGAACATGACAAAGGACTTGGGCGGGAAGGACCGGGCGGTGACGGTGCAGTACGGTCGCTCATAGGCTCCTGGCGGGCACTCACATCGGAAACCCCCACCCGAAAGCTCCCGGCATGTCCCTCCGTTACGACACACACCTGGCATGCACCTGCCCTGCCGGTGGTCAAACTCACAACGATCACCTGAAACAGAAAACCCCCCCACAATGTTAGTGTTAGCCAACCAAAGCGACCATAAAAGCCGTAAATCTCTCAGTAGTTAATCTAACTTTCGCTCAAAGTTTCTGTATATATGCAGAAATACCAATGCAACAGATTCTGATAAAAATAAACATTCTTGGTATTTATGAACATTTCCACCATTGTTTTCTGCACCAATTTAAAAGGCTAACATCAAATAAACAAATAAATAAATAAATTCCCACCAGTATCCCGGCACTTTTGCCATTTCAAAGCTTGTTTCACAGGCAATTAATATTCACAGGATCTGACCTCACTGCTCCCATTGGCAGGTCTGTCAAAACACACAGGTGCTGTGCGACAAAACATTGTTCAGAGCAGCAGAGCACAACTGAAAAATCCACTAAACCTCCAGTGCAACAAATCCCTGATTAAAGTTGAAATAAAACACTGTCTTGATTTAAATAATTTACCGATCTGAGCATGGTGGGGATAATGAGCGGGAAATATGAGCCACGGTTTAAGTTTTTCTCAACATGCTGTAAGTATTACAGCAATATTTTGTGTGAATACAGCTTGTTTTATTCTCCCACAGTAAAATCAAAAATGCACTTCCTGTTCATTTATACTAAGCTGTTTTCTGTTTTCAGTTTACTCCCTTGCTTTACTCCCTCATGGTTTAAGTGAGAAACTGTTCAAAATTACTCATACAGACCGCACATAAAACACAAACTTTCAGATAGTTTTAGAATTTATGCATAGTCAGTGTGTTACAGTGAAGTTAGAGTCTGAGTTTGATTAAAGAGATTTGCTTCATAGTGCTGTATCATCACTTTTTAATGCATTTGCTGGAGACAGGGTGGGCTGTGTTTGTCTCATCAATGTTGACAGGTAGCTGTAATATTAACGGAAAAGCAGGAGAGTTTCTAGCAACACCACTTTTTTTCTTTTTAAATCACCAATATTTTGACCTGACCTTTTAGAATTTGGGGGCTAAGCACTAAAGTAACAATGTCTTATATTCAATCTAACTACAAAAGAGGCTGAAACTTATGGTGAGACATGCGCAAACTCTCTACAACCCTGTAATGCCAACCATCAAAAATAAATTGCACAATGCATTTTTAGGCAATAAACTGCTCAAATGTAGCAATAAACACCTCAGTTTAAAAACAAATGTCTGGCAATCATTAGGCTTTACAGGGTTAAATAGGCAGATTTGGCACATGCTCGTAAACGCAAATATCTACTCAGCAACTCAACGCATTTATGCATGTAGACTTGGTTTAAGACGACTCGTTGAAGCTCAAACTGAGCATCAGAATGGGGAAGAAATTGAGTCTGGCGTGGTTGTTGGCTCCAGACGGGCTGTTCTGAGTATTTTAGAAACTGCTGATCTGCTGCAATTTTATATATCCTGTGGCAAAGCTCAAATCAACTGCGATGCTATCTAGTCAGTATGGAACAAAATATGTGTAATTTTCCAGCACCTTGTTGAGTCTATGCCATGAAGAATAATGGCAGTTCTGAGGGCAAAAGGAGATCCAACCCAGTCTTGGCGAAGTGTACCTAATAAAGTGGCTGGTAAGTGTATATCATTATGAATAATCAAAATAAATATTTCAGTGAGACCAGGGTGTGATTGGCCGAGGGAAATGCACTTCCCACTCCTCCCACTCTGGTCTGCATGTTCCTGCCTCTGCTAAAAAAATTTTTACCCCTGCTGGGGAGGGAAAAGTGCTGTAACACATTAGTGTGCCAAGTCATTTCAGATATTTATTGACTCTCAAGGTCTGAAAGTCTGCTGGTGAACTCAGGAAAAACTTCTTTTTTTTTTCTATTTTTTTCCCATAAATTGCCTCCTGAGTAAGAAAATACAGGGCCTAATATACAGTAGAAACAACAATGATGCATAACAACAACATCACTGTACTGCAGCTAAACTTTACTGCTCTTCAGCATAAAATTACAACTTTAACTTTTTTACTAAAGCAGCTAACAAGAGGCCTTGTGGTTAATGGTATCACACTTTTTCATTACATTAGCTCAAACGTGTGGTGTATTCCTCTGGCTATCACGGGGTCCAGCATGTTAAGTGTGAGCGTGGTTAGGACTACTGCAGTGACTGCACAGAGGTAGTAGTGCAATAATAGGGTAAAATGATTGCAAACTGGCATTTTTAGTCAGTGCCTGTGGATATACCAAAATACTGTCTGAGAAGACGACTTCTCTTCCCACAGCCTCCAGAAGCCTGACTGAATTTTTCCATCACAGCAATCATCCAAAGCACACTGCCAAAGTCACACAAGAGTTTCTTAAGGAAGAAAAAAATATTACCTGTCTAAGTATGTAACCTGACTTGAATACAAAAGAAACATTAGGGATATTATAAGAATAAAGGCAAAGAAACTGAAATAAAAAAGGTTTCTGAAGAATGAGTTTAGAAAAAGTAAATTACATGAGGTTCCTGTTTTAGGAACCCTTAGATTTTAATTCTGCAAAGGAGCACAGGCAATAATAAATACTTAAAGGGCATAAAATTTAAATTAGGATAACATTGTACATTAAGCTCTGATCATCATCATATATAGAGAAACGTAGCTTTCACGCTCACCGCTGCTGGTTTGCGCAGGTTCATTACCCTCAGCACAGGACTTATATATATGTCGCCTGAGAAATGTCTCTCTACAGGTGGTACAATGAGGCTCATGAAAATTACCTTTCCTGTAAAGCAACAGGTCTTTTTCCCATGTTAAACGTTTAAGTGGCCGTGGCAGATTTCCTTTCCTATCAAGCATTCAACCACATTCATCAAGCGCTTTCGATGTAAATTATTCCCTGATTAGCCGATGGGAACGGCAGGGTGCTGATTCCTGAGCAGCAGTAGTAAGAGTAACTGTTGCGCAGGAACTAACATTTACCATCACTCAAACAAACACAAACTGCATGTATTTTTTTTAAAAAAACAACAAAATTACAGCTGCAAGATTTCACCTGTCAACAATAAGACTCTGTATAACATTTGGAATTTATGATAGAAAAGGGGGTTGAGGAGGGCGGGGGAGATTTGCTGAATAACAAAAACAACATGAGCAAATCTGCAGACGAGAATAAACAGATTTGGCTGCCAGTCAAAGAAGCTCCAGTCTACAGTGTCTCAAGAGGCATAAACACCCACACAGCACACACACACACACACACACAGGCACATATTCAGTCAACCACATAAAAAGGTATGAAGGAATACGCTCTCTCTTTCATGGTTTTCACCTTTCCTGGAGCATATTTGGACACACATATTGTCTGACATTTAGCAGCTACACACAAAAAACACCCACACCCAGTGGCCTCCACATCACCAGAGCAGACAGGGTTTGAATCTAGCCTTAAGATAGATGGCTCCTTGAGGACCAACTTTAGAACCTGGGGATGGCTTCAAACACACACACACACACACACAACCCCAGGAAGATACCAAATAAACAAAACGCATAACCAAACATATAAATAATAAATTCAATTCATTATTTTTAACACATAAACACACACACTCAATTTCATGTCCTTTCTTCGATTCTCTTTTTCTCTGTGTCACACGTACACACGAACACACACACACACACAAACATGCAAACACACATGGATCATTGCTCCTGCCCTCGAGCCTGTCGGGTTTTATCGTGTAACTGTCTCTGTTGGCACTATGTTTGCACTGCTTTTAGTTTGTGCCAGCATACCCACTGGCAGACTTCTCACATCTTAACATTATCGCACACACACAACTAAAAACACAACAACAATAAATCATGCGTGTGTAAGTCAATAAACATCCTCACCTTTCAGCAGATGCAAATAATATCTGACACACATCACGCACAAACACACAGGAATTTGAGGGTGAGTCATGACCACACACACAAATGCACTGCCAGTCAGAGACACAAAGACAGAAGCTGTAAAAGTACGAGCAGTCAGACTCGATACACACTGATACTGACTACGTGTGACGCACACCACATAAACTGAAAGGAAGAGTGATTAAGCATTTTAATCTCGCAAAAGAATTAGTGATATAATTTGCTAAATATGTCACCTCTCCCCTGCCATTAGTCCTTTCCTCCACCTCTCCAGCATCCACCTGTCCTCCACTGCATGCTCTTTTTCGCCTTGACTTCAAATCCAAACGATAACTTCCCTATCAGTCATTTTAACATCTTTTTCATTTCATCCAACCCGTTTTCCCACAACACCTTCCCCCATGTGCCACCAGGCAGCTGATATCTGCTGGTTTTGGCTGACAAACATACTCTCTCACACACTATCAAATCAGCCTGAGGATGGACACACACACACACACACACAGTGAGATGCCCAGTCAAACACCCAGCCCATCTTACAACAGCCCAAGGACATTCAAATTATCACGTGTCTGTCCTTGTTTAAGCTTCTCTCATCCTCTCTCCGATTTCACGCGAAACGTATACTTCAATGTAAGCGCACACAACAGGGAACCAATTAAACCGAGACACCCCACAGACACACAACACAACACACACTCACTAACGCAGCACCACTTCCCTGCTTTTGTGTGTTGCACCCACTCCCCCGTACAGACCCTCTCATTAATATTAAAATAAATAAATAGACATTAATGCTCATGAATTATGCAGGCAGTGAGACTTACAGACACCTGCAAACACACACACACAACACAGGCACATGCTGATTCGTTATGCACACCGAGCTGACTAACTGAAAGTAAAAGTGACAGAAGACTGACGAGAAAATAAAAACAACCTTTGGATACATTTTTACAGTACCAAAAATAACACACACACACACACACACACACACATACTGGAATTATAAGAAGTAAAGCAGAGCAGATGTGATCTCAGACTGACTCAACAATGGTCTTTTGACCACGCACGCACACACACACACACACACACACAGAAGGCAGGACAGAGAGTTTGTAATTCCTCATTTGGCTCTGCGTTTTA